AATCCTCCTATATGTGCAAGCATGTGATATTTGTCCTTCTCTGCCTGACTTATTTCGCTCAGCATAACACCCTCAAGGTCCATCCATGCTGCTACACATGGCCAGATTTCATTGTTTCTCATTGCCATGTAGTATTCCATGGTATAGATAAACCACATCTTCTTGATCCATTCGTCCGATGATGGACACTTAGTCTCTTTCCATGTTTTGGCTGTTGTGGAGAGTGCTGCTATGAACATTGGGGTACATGTGCTCCTATGCATCAGCATTTCTGTATCCCTTGGGTAAATTCCTAGCAGTGCTATTGCTGGGTCACAGGGGAGTTCTATTGTTAGTTTTCTGAGGAACCTCCACACTGTTTTCCAGCGGGGCTGCACCAGTTTACATTCCCATCAACAGTGTAGGAGGGTGCCCGTTTCTCCACATCCTCGCCAGCATCTAGAGTTCTCTGATTTGCTCATTTTAGCCACTCTGACTGGCGTACCTTCACATTTTAAAAGGATCTTTTTGGAGCACCTGGGTGGTTCGGTCGGTTAAGTGTCTGGCTTTAGCTCAGGACATGATCTCACAGTTCATGGGTTTGAGCCCTGCGTTGGGCTCTGTCCTGACAGCCAGCTCAGAGCCTGGAGTTTGCTTCAGATTCTGGGTCTCCCTCTCTCGCTGCCCCTCCCCTGCTCACATTTTGTCTTTGTCTTTCCCTCTCTCTCAAAAACAAACGAACATTAACAAAAATTTTTTAAAAGAGGGTATCATTTTTGGGGCGCCTGGGTGGCTCCATCAGTTAAGCGTTTGACTTCGGCTCAGGTCATGATCTCGCAGTTAATGGGTTCGAGCCCAGCGTTGGGCTCTGTGCTGACAGCTGGCTTAGAGCCTGGAGCCTGCTTCGGATTCTTTATCTCCCTCTCTCTCTGACCCTCCCCCACTCACATTCTATCTTTCTCTCTCTCTCTCAGAAATAAAACATTAAGAAAAATTCTTTAAAAAAGGGTCTCTTTTTGCAACCTAGCCATGAAGACTTTTTGCCCATGTTTCTTACAGTCTTACATACACATTTCCTTAGTTTCCAATAGTTTCTTCACTTTGAAACCACTGATGGGCAGGTTATGTTTCCCTTAACTGGTATATAACTAAGTGACCTTGTAATTTTAATAGTCTCCACTCATCAGCTACTTTTTTTCCCTCACCTGCATGCATGCTCTTGAAACTACTTTTGTTCAAAAAGAGATGGAATAATTTTGTTCTCTCCTTTGCCCATTATATTGTGAAAATAAGAACCAAAGAAAACGGCTACAAGGAGTCAAGAAGAACAAAGAACGGGAGCCAGAAAACCACGAAGGGGCTGATCAGGACTCAGGTTCTGGTCTGCAACACCCAGTTACACATCCATGTCCAGATGCCGCCGTGGGGCAGATCTTGCAGCCTGCTGGGCCCACACGCCTCTGAGCCACTCTACTCCCTTCCCTGTGCCTCCAGCACTGCCCTCTCCCTGCTCCGTTCCAGTCAGCAGCTAGTACGGGGGGAGGGGAGTGGGAGTGAGACTGAGGGATGGGTAGGGGGTGGGGGGGACCTTATCAACCCGTGTGCCCTGGCACCCCCACTTGCCTCCTGTCCCCTCCCATGAGGCTGCACCTCTCACCACCTCTGGGGCTAAGAGGCAGAACTGGGGGGAGACCGGGAACAGGAAGACAAATCCGATTCAAGAAAACTCTGTCCTGCTCTAATTGCTTGGGACACTTGCCAGAGACACAGCTCCTCTCACGTGACTGCCTTCATTTGTCACACTCACTGCCTTCGGGTGTCATCTCAATTTCTCTCTGTGGCTGACAGGCCCCCCAATTCAACCCGAGGGCCGTTAGCAAGGACAGCAACCAATGGAAGAGAAAGGAGAAGGGAACACCCCTGCCACGCACACACACCAGGGACTTCTGCTGTGGCTCCGTGGCCCACATCTAGCCTCGAACTCCTCACCACCCCCAGTCCTTCCTGGGTCTCCAACCCTCTCCTCCCTCAGCCCCGGCTCCCACACCAACCCCAAGGGAATTCGTCCATAGGGGTCACCCTGGTTCCCCATAAGTGGAAATAACAAGAGTGTCTACCTCACAAGGGGTCGCTGTGAGAAATAAGGAGACGGGTTCTAAAGTGTTAGTGCCAATGCCCGGCACAGAAGACATTCAGTGTGCCAAATAACTGCACAGATTTTACGGTGGTTGGTACTTGAGTTTTGTAACATTAAACAATTTTTGAGAAGTGACTTGGTAACACAGTTACTCTGTTTATTTTCCTTGGGGGTAAAAACGTTCCCAGGTCTGAAAGGCTGATTTGGACTTGAACTGAGCACAAGGCAGAGTGGACCACAGTAACTAGCACAGTCGGCTTTTGTCCACCAGGGGGCAGCACGCCATTGCCTGAGGGGACGAGACACCCACTCTTACCTATCAGAAGCCAGTAGTTCCTCAAGTAGTTGAGCTTGTTCTTCCCTTTGAGCCCAGGCTCAAACTTTAGGTCTGTGCTGGGCGTGATCACACACTCCCCTTTGTCCCCAATGGTGACCCCGTCAGTCTGGGGACCTTCCAGCAAAGGAAGTGTGCTGCCTCGGGGCTGTGAAGACAGAAGAGGAGTGAGGCCTGTGGGAGCCCTTGCGGATGAACACCCAAGGGACCGCCACCCTCCAGGGAAGTGATTTCTGTGTGGGGCTGGTCCAGGACAGTCAGAACAAGACACAAAGGCCCAAAGATGGCAGAGGCTCCTCCCTCAACATGTGACAAGGTTGTGTTGACATCTTTATCATGGACATCTTTGTTTTTTTTCCCCACAAGGTTTATTTTTTTGAGAGAGAAAGAGAGACAGAGCACCAGCAGGGGAGGGGCAGAGGGAGAGAGAGGAAGACAGAGACTCCAAAGCAGGCTCCAGGCTCTGAGCTCTCAGCACAGAGCCCGATGTGGGGCTCGAACTCACAAGCTGTGAGATCATGACCGGAACCGAAGTTGGCCGTCTAACCGACTGAGCCACCCAGGCACCCTGCCCCATATCATGGACATCTTTTTTTTCTTTTTCTTTTTAATTCTTAGGTCTGGGAACTGGGCAGAATGTGTGTGGAATTCCCGGAGGCTCCTGTGAAGGGCAGAGGGAAGTCCACTGTGGAACAGTGACCAGCCAGAAGCCAGGTGCGGGCACTGCCCTGCTCACAGGAGCAGCCGACCACCTTACTGAGAAGACGAGAGATGCCACCCAAACATCTCCAATGCTGTCAGATCGTCATGCCTCGGAGACGCAGAGAAGGAGCATTCTCAAGAGGCCGGTGAGGTCTGAGGGCCTCAGTAAGTCACAAGAGGATGGGGAGGCTTTGGACAGGAAAAAGGAGGGAGAGCATGTGAAGTATGAGGCGCAGCCTGAACAAAGGTGGAGAAAGGTGAACAGGAAGCTTCTGGAATCAGGGAGAAGATGGAGCATACGACTCTTACAAAGATGCTAGCAGTGTGGCCAAAGGGCCCTGTGTGACTGGGCTGAGGAAGGCGTGAATGCCAGTGTGGGGACTTTAGACTTGAACATGAAAGCAAAGTGGAATGACCAGGGCTCTTGTCATGCATCTTTCCTCACAAAGTAGAATGTGGGCAGAAACTGTCTTTGAGGATTTAAGACCTGTGTCTTGCATTCTTTACCCACAGGGTGTTCATTGATAATTCAGAGTCATTCTTTGCTAAATGGAACAGGAGCGGTTACGAGGAGGCTGCATCTGTGGGCCCCCAAAGTAGACTTACCACAACGGCGACGCCCTCATGTACCATGGAGGGGGAGGCGTACAGGCTGGTGGAGTATTTCCCGACATACAGGGTGGGCCTAGAGACACAGAAACACACATTCCACAGCCATTTAACTTCTGCATCCCACAAAAGGGGCCTTTCTGGAGAGAAGTATCCCAGCCCCAAATGTCACTCAGAAGAATAACCAGATTAACCCCTAGCATTCCAAGCAGGGGTGATGTAAAGGCAGAGCTACTGTCCTGGGAACCTGGACGGCAGGCCCCAGCTGTCACTGTCTACAAAGATGTGCACAAGTCACCTAAGCGCAAGCCTGGATTTCCTCCTCTGCAAATGGCAGCGCTGCACTAGAGCGTCCCCGCGATGGTCAGAGAGAGAACCGTGTGCAGTGATTGTCCCGAAAGGACTGAATGCTTGCAAGCACTGCAAAGTCTCTAAGATGCCCTGCCCTGGCCACAGCACACTCAGACACCGAGCTGCCATTCTTTCTCCAGATTCTCAAGGAGTCCAGAGGTTCTACAGAAGCCCTAAGAAACAATCAACTGCTCTAACTGGGAGGACTACAGCAAAGGGACACACAAAAAGTTCCAACCGGGTGGGACTTCCGGTCCCCTGGCTGAGCGGGCTGGCCCTGGGGGTGTTGAGGAGTGCGTGGGCTTTGGCTTTGGCTGTGGTATCAGCATGAAGATGTGGGGGCGGCACCTCCAGACCCTTCTGGTTTCTGTCAACAGCCAGTTTGGGGTTGGCCATCCACTGAATTCTTGAAACCTCTCTCAGCAAATATTCTACGTCTGAAAGATGTACAACTTAGCACTTTCTTTCCAGTCCCCTTTGCTCTTTTCTGCAGCTCTATAAGGTGGGAACTTGGGGGCAGCAGGTCCAAGGGACGGAGTTTCAGGCTGTTAACAGGCAGGGATGGTGACCACAAGCCTGGTGTGTCTTAGACGGACACACTGTAACACTCTTCCTGATTTTGACAATGCTTCAAAAACAGAAAAAATTCAGAAAACACAGTTTAAAAACAAACACATCTCCTGTATTCCCGCCAGCTGAGACACACCCAAATTGTACTGTAGCTCTCTCCTGGCCATCTCTTTCTTATCCCTGTCCATAATTTTATTTAATATCCAAGAATTCTGAAGCATCAAGGGATGCCCCAGTTCCTATACGTACTATGAGCTTTCTGAATGGGCCCATCTTGGCTGTGCACACACCCCACAGCTTCAGACCCCACGTGCCCTGAGCCCCGGCGTCCAGCATATGGTACGCTACACGGCAGCAGGACCGGGACGTTTGGGTCACAGCTGCCCTCTTCTTCCCCTGAGTTCCCGGACTCACGTCAGCTTGCTCTTGGCCTCCGTCTCCTTGGGGAACGGGTACTTCCACTTGGTGATGCGGCCCACCTCCCCAGACATGAAGGTCAGGTAGCGCAGGGTCTCCACCGCGACGTTGATGTGCATCACCTTCCTCAGACCCTCCCGCTGCCAGACATAAAAGGCCACCACAGGGGAAGCATAGTTTTGGATCCACAGGACGTCGCCAGATTCACTGTCCACGGTCACCACCAGCCCATCGCCATTGGACACAAAGTGGGACATCTCTGTACAGATCAAATAAACAAGGCATGTGTCTTATGACCACATCCTCTCTGTCTCGCAAGTGGCAGTCACTCAGCTAGAGGAAATAAGACTTCTGAGTCTTCTGAGTATTCTCAGATATCCTCCCAACAGTTTCACTTGTTTCCAGTGAACCCCTGCAGGCTCTATGACACCAAGACATGAGAGCTGCCTGCCTGATAAACGTAAGAGAGGGTCACTCTCGGGAAGGCAATTTACTTGGGGAGATTCTTCAGCACTCTGTTCAATTAGTGAGAGTAGGTGTGGAGGAGAAAAGAGCCAGAGGAGAGGCCTATGGTTCTGATATTTTAAAGCAATCATCTCGAACCGACTGATCGAGTTGAAAGTCAAAGCTGACCACTGACACTGCCCACGTCTGCCCAAAGAGGGCATTTCTGGAAGACTTTCAGGTATCGGTTTTCAGATGGCAAAACCTGTTTTTAGTGTTCACTTGAGCTGGGACCATGTTTGTGTCACGGGATGAGTCACATTTAGGAGGTGGGCTGTCAATGTCACAGCTGATAATTCTGCTTCCCATGGGCTTGTGGTGCATTCCTTCTGTGACACGGAGGGACTCGGCAAAGCGCACTCCTCATTTCTCTCAGGCTAAACTCCCCACCTGTTTTACTGATGTCTCCCTCTACACTTCTCACCCGGGCCTCGGCCTTTAATACTGTCGAATTATTTACTATAAGCCCAGAAGCTGGTGATCCAGAGTGCCCTAAGAGAAAATCCAGCGTCCAGGAGTGATCGCTTCCTCACGGGTCATAAATACTCAGCCGACTTCGCACGGCCACCTGGGAGCACTTACTGTAGTCCCCGTCGTCCTCTGGCAGCGAGGCCGCATAGTCGAAGTAGGTGGCATTCCACCGGAGCTCGCGGGTTTTGGTGTCGTACATGGTGATGGTGTACTCTGGAGAACACACACCAGTCCGTTACCTGGAGGGGCCGCGGCACCTGCTGAGGTGCTGACCTTATCTAAACTACAACAGACAAGGGGCACCTGGGTTGCTCAGTCAGTTAGGTGTTTGACTCTTGGTTTCAGCTCAGGTCTTGATCTCACGGTTTCATGAGATCAAGCCCTGTATAGGGCTCTGTGCTGGGCATAGAGCCTGGTTGGGATTCTCTCCCCTACCCTCTCTCTCAGAATAAATAAACAAACCTTAAAGTAAATAAATTACAACAGACACATCCTCTCAAAATTGTGTGTAAAATATCCAGGCCGTCTGCGTAGAATGAGAAAGGCCACGTGGATGAGAACTGAAGTCCCAGACACAGGTGAACCCGGCTGATGGCATGTGGAATAGCCACTCATGCTGCGTCCTTGAACTCATGACTCACAGAATCAGTATCATGGTGGTATTTGTGGTTTTTTTTTTTTTTAATTGCACATCACTCTTTTTTTCATCATGGCGTTTTTAAAGCCACCTAAGTTGTGGGGTGGTTTATTATACAGCAATAGCTGATCTTACAGAAGGGTACCTGGAGGTGGGGTAGGGCCATAACAGAAAAATGAAACATGTAGCATTGACCGGGACGAGGTGGCAGCTGGAGGCTGGCAGGTCACCGTGGAGACGGAAAGAGCAGTAAGGAAATGCCACTGGAAGCTGAGAAGGGGTGACCCAGCTTACACAGCGGTCGCACAATTAGAAAGACCAGTGCTTGCAGTCACTTGCAAAGTGCAAAAAAGCACCAAGGGAACTTGTGGATCGGGTGGAGACCCCTGGGCGCCCCAAGTACTTTCTCCTTGGTGAATATAATGCAGGACCAAGAAGCTAAAGAAGAAACCATTCAGTTTTCAAGCTGAATACAGAGAAAACACAGAGGGTTCAGGCCCAATGTCCCAGCTAAGCTGGAAAAGATTCTCACTGTAAAAACTAGCCTCAGGGTCAAGATCAAATCAAGACAAAAATGTGCATACCTGGCGGAGAGGGACGCGCTACTGAACGTCTTTAAAAATAGCACTGCTTTCTTCTGGGAACTGCTTGGAAAATGTTTGAGTGAGGGAAACCCAGCCAGGGAAGAGACAAAGGGGGGGGTAAGCAGAGGCTCTGCAGGCTGTGGGGGTCTGGGCTAATCCCTCAGGCAACGGGGAGCCGTGGAGGAGTCTTCTCAAGGGGAACAATGTGGTAAATCTGTTTGGAGAAAACAGCTCTGGCCACCTTCTAGAGAATCAAGCCTGGGGGCAGAGACCCAGGCGGAGGTTACTTCAGGTTCATGTTTGGAAACAGGCCGATTGTACACAACAAAAGGTTCTTTCTTACCTGTTCGCCCGAGATACAGCAGAGAAGTCGATGGGCAGAGACTGTCTGCAAAGGCTGATGACAAAGTCTGCTGCTTCTCCCCGGTCAGGAGGTCAATTACATACCAAATGTCCTGCTTTTTACCTGAAAGGTCATGAGGACACGCTGTGGCTTACGCTCATCCAATATGGGAAAAAAAAATCTATCCCTGCCAAACTAGCAGGCCAAGATGTTCTCCACGTAGAGAGGCCCGAAGTGCTTGCGATGCTGAAGACACATCCATCAGGCTCCAGGGTGACAAGGTAGGTGGTAATGTGGAGGTAATAAAGCTTCTTGAGCCACTGGGTCTTATAATAACTTAATAACCTAATGATGGTTTAAAAATTTCTTCAAACCTACTAACCTAATAACTCATAGATTTTATTGCTTTGATTAGTGACCTTAAATATAAAAAGCCTGCGGCGGGGGGGGGGGGCGGGGGGAGTTGTGCTGGGTGGCTCAATCGGTTAAGTGTCCGACTCGATCTTGGCTCAGGTTTGTAAGATCTGGCTATGCGCTGACAGCACAGGGTCTGCTTGAGATTTTTCTCTCTCCCCCTCTCAAAATAAACAAACTTTAAAAATATACATGAAAAGCCTGGCCTATAAAGGGCAATCCTTTTCTCATAGACTAGGGTCTATATAAATATAGAAATGGACCCAAGGGTTCATCTCTCTGGTAACCATTATTCATAGATCTTCGCGTCCCTACTAGGGAGCCCACGTGTACAGAGGATCTACAGTCACTGTTTACAACTCTAATTAGCTGATACCTCAGACTGGGCAGTAGTTGCTTATAACCTGGTGCTAATGAGGCCAAACTTGTCTCAGCCCCTGACCCCAGTCAGTAAGTTATTCGCCAGCCACACACTACACCCCACTCCTCGGTCAGCTGATTAAAAGGTATGAACGGGTGGACAACACAGCCAAACAACACTACTGGGAAAACTCAAAGCATATGCATCTACGACCTATGGAACATACACCAGAACACTGTCCTGGTGAGTCAGTAGCACGGGCCTCTCATCTGAAAGTCAACACGTTCACCGTAATGTGTGCGTTTCTGTTTTGCAAGGCATGGCCTTATGTGGTCACTTGTATCTTCCTAACTTATTGGTCAAGGTTCCTCTTTCAAGACACTTGGAAGCAGAGTAGAGATGTCAGGAAGATCACAGGTCATCAGAATTTGCTAAAGCTACACTTAGTTCTAAGAGATGTAACATATATGCCTTGTCTACATTTGTGAAACTTGTCGATGATAACTTTCTGTTCCACAAAATCTTAATACGAAAAAGATCTGCAGATAGAGTGAAAACATCACCCTCCAGCTATGACCATGATCCTTTTCCCTCTGGTATGACACCCTTCTGGTTACTTCAAGAACCATCACGGTCTGCATAACTCTGCTACCTCTTTAATGATGGACTGGGCAACTGCCACAAATTTAAGTATGGCTTAGTGAACTCACTTAGGAGGGTACCACGCAAAGATGATGGAAACACACTATCCTAAATGCATCATAAAGGATGAGCTGCTGGCAAAAGCTAGAAGACCAGACAGAAAACAGGGACACAGATGGTCAGATGGGCCCGGGGCCTGGCCCAGGGGAGAGAGAGAGAAAGCCTCTGTTGATCACTTCCTCTGAATCTCGAGGCTTGGGACTTCCTCTTTCTGAAGATGTGGAGGAAAGCAACAGCTCTAGAGTCCCTGGCAAAAACTTACAAATCCAGCCTGCACTTCATGCCCAGAAATACACATAAAGCTCCTGAGGCATGAACAGGCAATAAGTACTTTCAGTTCCTTAGAAGGAAAGGTGCTGTATAAATACAGGATATTATTACTATTATGATTTCAAGATAAACACAGCTCTCCTTTGTATTACAAATGCATTTTTATTGACATTTTGGCAGCAACACAGTAAAAGAAAAGAGGCAATCTGCTGCTTTGAAAGAGGTGACCCCCATCGGTATGAAGGCAGTTTATCTAGCCAAGCTGTTAAGTGCTGTTTTATCCAATATTCTGATAGCAGGAAATACTAAGAAAGTCCTATAATTAAAAGGCAGAACCTGGCTTCCCTTTCTTGGCTCAGAGTCTTGTGTTCACTTTAAATTTCATCCGATTGCTTCTGGGTATGTTGCAATCTTTAAATCACAGGGGTAAGTCAACACAGCAGCTAAAAACCTTGTTAAATGAATAACCGTATTAATGGTGTCAAGTCTGCTCCCAAGTGAGGGGAACCTTTTCTTAATTGGTCAGCTGATCCTGGCGTGAACAAGCATAACAGAGGCAAGAAAGACCTTTCCCAGAAGGGCTGGTAGGGAGTGACTGCACACCTCTCTCTCAGACACACCACTGTCCCAGAACCGGGGACTCACTTCCAAAGAGATCAAAGTTTCAGTGTTGCAAATGGGAGCTCTTACCCATGTAGAGAATTCCATCTGAACTTCGGCATGGGGATGCCTGTACGAGCTCTGGGATGGTAAAGGGAAGTTTCTTTTTAAAAAAAAAAAAAAAGCAAAGGAAAAAAATAAGTTAACCAAGTCTTGTGCAATAATTATAATTTTACTGTAGTCTTTCTGTTACCCAATTCTGCTAAAAAGAGAGAAGCAGTGTTGATGGTAGATGGGAGTTTTCCTAACTGGAAACCAGGAACGAACAAGGGGTGCCCAGGTGCCCTAGGCTTCTGTACCCACTGTGGACAAGCCTCCAGCCACCAGGTCCCCTCCAGGAGCCCCTCAGAGTGTCTTGTCCAGAGCACTTCTGGGGAAGACATAAACCTTTTCTGAAAACACTTCCACAAATATGGGGAGTGACAGATTTGACAGATTCTTTGAAATCTGGGGTGGCAGGTGGGAAGGTGGGGGAGGGTTAGAAAGAATTCTCCTCTTGGAAAACTGACCCAGAGTCAGCTAGGCTGAGTAAATGACATGCTTTTCAGAGTGTCCGTGAGCCATGAGATTAATTCTGAAGAGGAGTGACCTCTGCACCCAGCTGAAGCTTTAAGGGAAAGGGGAAGTCAGCATTATGTGGGTGACCCAGGAGTCTGAGATGGAAAAAGGAGTTCTGATGTTTGCTTCAGAAAATAATTCTCTATTGGAAAACAAACAAACAGAAAATTAAGCCATTTTAGGTAACGAAAAGAAATTATGGTAGGTGCCAGGAAAAGAAACTCAAAGGAATCCACACGTTTCAACTGCATTTCATCAGAAAACTGATTCTTCTGAGTCCACACAGCTGACATCTGAGGAGTTCTTCTGGTTAATATTCGTTTCGGTATACTTTATTTTTAGAACATTCTGTGTTCTTGAAACTATTCTATACATATACCTACTTCTACTACACTGTCATCTTTTTCTCCAAAAAAGAAAAGATTTCTCTCTAGCTTTAACAAACAGAACTTTAAATAATCAATTGGTTGGATTTTCCCATTATCCCAACACTTAAACGAAGCCTTAGGAAAGGACAAATGCCACAGAGAAGCTGTCGTGACTGGACTGGATTTCTGTCAGGTGTTTTGGAGAATCAGAAAGTCATTGCAAGGCCTCCAGTCTGGACTCCTATAGCGTCTGCTAAGCATGTCTACAGGCCCCTCTGGACCCAGCTGAGAAACAGGCTGCTCCCGGAACACAGGAAGGCATCAGGGGTGGTGGTCAGAGCATCCTTTGGAAGTTAGAGCTCAAGGCCTGAGTTCCAACACTTGAAGCTTTGGCCTTGGACACATTCCTTCACCTCTGTGGACGAGGTTTCCATGCATCTTACATGGGATAACACCTGTATCCCAGAGGGCTGCTGAAACATGAGACAGCTTCTACAGATAGTTCCACACAGCGTCCAGCAAAAAGTGCTTCAGAAACAGGCTCCAGAAACGGGGAGAGAGATGCCCAAGGTGAGACACACACACCTCTCCACAGGCTTGCCTTCCTCCCACCTGTTCCAGTCACAGGCATTCATAAAACAGTTTAAAAATACGCCAATTAGAGTTCACAGCCACTTATAGTCTAGACCGCCACTTCTCGGCCTTAGCTGCACATCAGAATCACGTGGGAGGCTTTTGAAAAAAATTTCCTATTGAAGCAGAACATACAAACAGCACACGTTGGGTGCACAGCTCAGCTAAGGTTTGCAAAGCGGACAGTGCATGTAACCAGCATCCACGTGAAGCAGCAGAACATTTCCAGCACTCCGAAAGCCCTTGCCTTCTCTTCCAATCATAACCTCCCAGGGTCACCATTATCCTGACTTCAAAACAGCATAGGCTGGTTTTTCCTGTCTTTGAGTTTTATATAAACGAATCATTCAGTGTGTAGCCTTTCTGGTTTGTCATCTTTTGTCCAACCTCCTGTTGGCAAGGCTCATCCATGCTCCTGGGTAGTGTCACAGACTGTTCGTCCTCGCTGGTGGAGACCACTAAAGTTGTATCATTATTCCATAATTTATTTATCGTGTCCACTATTGATGCTGTTTGGACAGTTTTCACTTTCCAGCTATTCTATGTAATGCTGTAGAACATCTGGTACCTGCCTTTGGGGAACATATAAACAGACACTTCTATGGGTACACACTGACCCGGGAAGGATTCCTGGGTCATAAAGCTTTACAAATTCTGCCAGGTTCCAAACCGGATAAACCAAGTTGCACTTCCACCAGCAGTGTCCAAGAGTTTTATGAATCTTTTGTTGGAGTCAGATATGTACTTCAAGTACACTGTGGCCTGCCTCTCTTAATGGTGTCTCTTAACAAAGAAAAATTCTTAATTGTAATATAGTCCAATATATCTATTTTTTTCCTTTCTCATTAGGCTTGTGGGGGGGGGGGGTTCTGTTTTGTTTTGTTCATCTCATCCCATTTAAGAAATTTTTTTTCCTACTCTAAGGTCACGCAGATGTTCCGTTACTTTTTTTTCCTTAAAGTTCTGTCTTTACACTTCACACTTAGATATGCAATCTCTCTGGAACGCAGCTGTGTGTGTCTGGTGTGAGGCAAGAGTTAAGCTTCTTTTTCCATGTGGATATCCCAGTTGACTCATGCCATTTACTGAAAGACCACTCTCCTCCATTGCACTACAGCCTCACCTCTGTCAGAAGTCAGGTGACCATCTGTGTGGGCCTGTTTCTAACTTCTCTTATCTAGGGAGCTTTTAAAATTTCCTGATGACCTAGATCAATTAAATGGAAGCTTTAGGCATTGCAACCCATACTCAGTATTTTTTTGTTTGGTTTAGAGCTCCTCAGGTTATCACAATGTGTAGCTAAGGTTGAGAACCACTGGTCTAGATTCTCAGATGAAGACAGGAATGGAATATCATCTGTCCCCATACCCCATAAAGGGACGTCTGCTGGGGTGGAGGTGGGGGTGGGGGACAGTGCTTCAAACTACCCTCCACCCCCAATTTGAAATCGCCAGTCAGAGCAAGCCCTGTTGCCAAAGGGAGTATCATACCCCTCCAGTGTGTTGGCTGGGCCTTGAGAACCTGTTGGTCTAGACCAATGTTTTGGAATTCTGGCTGCCAGCTAAAAGCTCATTTAGGAAGCTGTAAAAAAGATATTGATGCCCAAGTCTCACTGCAGAACCCCTGAATCAGAAACTCCGGGAATATTTTTTTATGCTCTCAGGTGATCTCAGTGTGCAAAGTTGAGGACCACTGGCCTGGAACCTCTGAAGAACAAAAGAAGCTAAATGTACTCACCGTCAGGCCTTCATTATTCTTGCTCCCAAGCGTGTACAGGCTGCCGTCATTGGGATCTGGGAGGAAGGCAGGCCTAGAGATTAAGCAATAAGTATCAATAATAAATTATAGCCCAGGGCACAGAACAAAACATCAAAGCCATGCAAAGCCATGATGGGGAGGAGGGGGAGAATGTGTGTGTATAAGACAATTCCACCCACCGCTCTTTCATTTTTAGCCACAAATAAAATATCCCTATGGTGATAGGCTATGTTTGAGCAGAAAAAAGCAACCTGCAAAAAAAAAAAAAAAAGTAAAAAACCACAGAAGGGTAAATCATCATTTGGTCAAAGCATTCCGGATGATGATAAATAAGTGAAAAGTCTGCTTTCCAGTTTCCAAGTCGATTGTGTATGGAATTTTAGTAATTAATACTTAATAGCATGGAACAGTACATAAACAGGGAGGACAGATCTACCTTCAGTGTTCAACAAACGTTTATTTTTACACTGGAGGCAATAAAAGCAGACTCTGAAAGCTTGACATCTGACAGGACCTGCCGAGGAGATGGATGGTCTCTGGTATGTGGCTTCCCAGGAAGCAGATACGAGGTCGTCTTTGATACAGTCAACCTTCTAAAGTCTACACTCTGGGGGCACCCAGGTGGCTCAGTCGGTTAAGCGTCCGACTTCGGCTCAGGTCATGATCTCACAGTTTGTGGATTCAAGCCCCGCATTGGGCTCTGTGCGGACAGCCAGCTCAGAGCCTGGAGCCTGCTTCGGATTCTGTGTCTCCCTCTCTCTCTGACTCTCCCCTGTTCATGCTGTCTCTCTCTCTCTCTCAGAAATAAATAAATAAGAAACATTAAAAAAATAAAGTCTGCACTCTGACGAGTCACTCGGAAGCCACTTGCTGAATCTTTTCCATACTTAGGATGTCCCATCACGTGAGCTCTTGCAGGGGCCATAACACACGCTGCAGGAGCAGGTCCCGTCCAGGCTTCCCCTCCACGGTAAGACACAGTCAAGAGGGAGAGATCTCAACTCTCTGGTAGGACTTTGGAAGCTTATGCTCAAAACTCCACTTGAGTTTCATCTCAGATAAGACTTTTTAATATCGCTGCCTCTGCTCGCCACCCCAGCAGCTGACCCCCTTTCCCCAACACAGGTCACAGAACCTGTAAGACTTCCTGTTTCCACCACTGTGATTATACTTTAAACGTATGCACATATGTACTCCCAGCAGCTAGCTTCCTAAATACTGACTGAATAGTCAGGAAAATGAATTAAAGGGAAGTGCTTAAGCAAATCCGAAGACTTACTCTTCCACATGCGTTGGAACCTGCAGAACAGGATCTGTGGGGAAGAACAAAGGCATCATCAGACAGACTTGAAAATACTGGGATTCTGAGAAGGCCCCCAGGACTGACTCACGAGTGGCACCGACAACTTAAATTTACTGCATGAGATAACGTACGCGAAGATTCGTTAGAAAACACACACTCAAAGACAGATGTAGGCTCTTATGATGGTGGCCGAGGGTGGAGAGAGAACAGAGCAGAATGGAACTGCTGTCAATAAACGTGCACACAGGGGCAGCTGGGTGGCTCAGTCGGTTAAGCCCTGGACTCTTGATTTTGGCTCAGGTCATGATCTTGCGTGGTCTTGAGACTGAGCCCCACACTGGGCTCCATGGTCAGTGTGGAGCCTGCTAGGGATTTCCTCTCTCCCCCTCTCCCCCGCCCCTCCTCTGCTCCTGCTAGCTGTCTAAACAAACAAACAAACAAACATTTAAAAAAAATGGGGGGGCGCGCCTGAGTGGCTCCTTGCTTAAACATCCAATTTCAGCTCAGGTCATGATCTCATGGTCTGTGAGTTCAAGCCCCACATGGGGCTCTGTGCTGACAGCTCAGAGCCTGGAGCCTGCTTCGGATTCTGGGTCTCCCTCTCTCTCTGCCCCTCCCCCACTCATACCCTATCTCCCTCTTTCTCAAAAATAAACATTTAAAAACTTTTTTTTAAAAAAAAGAAATGTGCACATAGACAGTGAAGGAAGAACCAGTCACAACCCACAGTGGACAATGGGTCACAGTGTCTCTACCTGACACATCAAGGACTTTTAAAACCTAAATGATCACTTTGTCATATACCTAGCGTGGTACTAGGTACTCCCATGAGGAAAAACAAAACTATGGCTTAAGAATAAGCTTTCTTTTGATGAGAATTTTCTTGAATGGTAAGTGGACATACCCCTTTGGGGCAGCGATAGGGTAACCTTAGCACCTCCAAGGGCTTGTTCCCCTTGATTCCCTTTGATCCATTTCAATAAAATCTTACGCAAAAGTAATACAAAATATGGGACACTTGGGTGGCTCGGTCAGTTGAGCATCCAGCTCTTGATTTCTGTTCAGGTCATGATCTCATGGTTCATGGGACGGAGCCACACGTTGGGCTCCATGCTGGGCATGGAGCCTGCCTGGGATTCTCTCTCTCTCCCCCTCTCTCTCCACCCCTCCCCTGTGCTCTCTCTCTAGCGTGCTCTTTCTCAAAATAAATAAACTTCAAAAAATAAAAACAAAGTACAAAATATAGAAAATCCTTTGCGTACAAAGAAGCTCATATGAGCATTACAAATGACAACGATTCAGTAATATGGGTAAATTAAGGACTGTCCAGTTGGCAGAAAATTAAGGCTTCTAGAAGGCCTTAAAAAGTTTTAAAACATGTACAACAAATCTTTATATTTTGATGTTCAAGAGAAAAGATAACATTACACAGAATATTAATGCAACTGGGGAGAAAATCTTCAATGCACAGAAAAAAACAGAAAGGCAAAAAATGCTAATTGTGAATTATTTTTGTTGGAAATAAACATGACCCCCCCCCACTTTTTTATTTCCCAAAACTTGCATAACAACAGGCAGTACCTTTTACATTGGAAAAAAAGGGTTTTCCCAAAGTCAGTTTTCTATTTGCAGTAGAGTCAAAAATGGCAGAATCTCTCTCCCCCCTCATCCCAGGCATGACTCAAGAGGACGCTCCTGGTTCCCTGGGGTCGATGGCGCCATGAGGACACACTGACACGACACAGGGCTCAAGTCCACAGCGTGAGACAGCTCCGTCATGAGGGGTTCCTGGCAACCAAAGGCCCACAGGCTGCACAGCCACGCTGTGAGCAACTCCCAGCTGGGGGTGAGGAGGGCTAAAATCGGGACAGGATTTTTGGACAGAGAGTTCCGGGCCCCACAGGCTGTGCGTGTGGTGACAGACGGCTGCCTGACTCCCCCAGTCACCTGGGATTCTCAGATGAGGAAAACGCTTTCAAGCCTTATCATCTGTTGACTTTTCTTTACAAGCCCAGCTCCGACATGAAAGCATACGGTGTTCACAGTGACAGAAGTCACACAGACCACACAGCACATGTGGTCTGTGGGCAGCAAACAAACAATTCATTAAACCAGAAACATTTAAGGAAACAAGAGGAACTTTCGGTGAGTAAGCCTCTGTTTATCGTTCCCATTAATCGCCTCTCGGTACAAACAGACTGATGCAAGAGACAGGAAATAAGGGCACGCAGCATTCACCCCACTGAAGAAGTCAAGGTGCAATTATAGCCCAGTACTTCCACACAGCCCTGAAGCCACGCAAGCCAGGCAAAGCAGGAAGGCCGTGTTCCAAAGAAAGCACAGCAGTCAGGAGGCATCTTTTTTGTCCATTTCAGCTACTTCACGGTATCACAGGTACACACAGATGAAGAGGGGACACTGCTGGACTCTAGCACTTTCACCAGAAACAAGACATGGAGACTGACAGGATTTCAAGTCTGGTCTGTAGGCTTATCTTTGCCGTACAGCGCTTGCTCACTCTTAGGGTCTTGCCTTCAGGTGTTGATTTTCCTGGTTTTCTAGAGCTTGTCCACAGGTCACCTGACGCTGAGGCCTTAAGTCCCCAAATGTGTCCTGCACCAGACAGGTTCAGTGTCAAGTGAAGACCCAGGCCATCGGCAAGAGCTGACCAGGGTGACACCTACCCAGCTGTTTAAGAACTGTGTTTTCTCGGGGCACCTGGGTGGCTCAGTCGGTTAAGCGTCCAACTTTGGCTCAGGTCATGACCTCACGGTTGATGGGTTCGAGCCCCGTGTCGGGCTCTGTGCTGACAGCTCAGAGCCTGGAGCCTGCTTCAGATTCTGTGTCTCCCTCTCTCTCTGCCCCTGCCCCGCTTGTGCTCTCTCTCAAAAATAAACAAACATAAAAAAAAAAAAAAGATCTGTGCTTTCTCTAGGCTTAGGAGGAGAGGAAGGTCAGCATTGTCACTCACTGGGTAAAATGAGGTCCCTGGAAGGAACATGTGTGGAGTTGTAGGCCAGGTGACAGCACCACCATTACGTCAGCTCTGCCAGGCGAGCAAAGTGCGGCTTGGCTTCTGAGGGGTAGCAGTGACCTAGGCCATAGGATTCTTTTTCCCCTTAAAGAATCACTTGAATCGGAGATTTGCTTTAAAATACTACTGAAAAAACCCATATGGGTAGGGAGGAAGGCAGATAAAACAAAAACTGGCCGCCTGCTGATAACTGTTAAAGATGAATGTGGCACCGGGGGGGGGGGGG